GATGGGGTACCTATTTAATCCATGTAATCATTAGTCCATGAAGCACCTCATGAAGGAAAACACTAATCCAACTATGTAAGTGAAGCGTCCATGGAAATAATTTGCATGATTACGAGTCAGAAAGAGGAGTTAGTTAGGTAGAGGAATGAGAAACAAGAATTCATATCTAGAATGCAAAAGTGTAACCATATTAAATAAGGACATGCTACTCTGTCTTCTTTAAATATATCAAACTCCACAAACACCAAGAAAGAGCATGCGAAGTACAATTGTCTAAAACAAAAAGGTAACATGAACTGAACCCTCAATCTTATAATCACAGAAGATAAATACCATGAAGAGATTAAAGACATGAACACTTCCCGAGCCATGTCTTCATCTCTATATATCCTTCTTATGTGCCAAAATCCTATGTGATTCCACCCATTAGAAATTTGTTAAGAACTACAGTTGTCAAGCCACATGACAACAGTGAATGGACAAAAAGCATTGTTAAACTTTTTCTTGCACAAAGCACCAATTCCTGATAAATTTCCTTCTTTCCTGTTAATTATCATCAGGGGAAGCAACAATAAACACTATCTAACAGGTAAAAGCAACTACGTGTGGTTGATAACATGCATTTTCAATTAAGTGCATGCTTCCCAAAATGCAGATCATGCCAAATGAAATCTACTTTCCTAAATGGAATGGCTGCACTTATTATATAATCAATGGTAGGACTCCTACACAAGGATAATCCATTCCTCACTTTTAAGCATTTATCCATGGTTTAAATTCTAAATCAGAAACTATACAGAGGCAATGCTTTTCTTCTTTTTGAAAAAAAGGAAATGTGTAGTAAAAATTTAATAGCCAATTTAAGCAGATTGGTAAAAGGAAACAACTCCTTGCAATGAAGACGCAACGTACCCTTTTTCCATCTTTGACACTCCTTTTACCTGCTCCAATAGCAGTAACAAGGACAATAGTCACGATATTAGCTCCAAAACCTAAAACTGTGAATATGGTTAAGGTAATAAACAATAACTGCAATTTGTATAACTTTCTTAGCATAAAAGAACAAAAATAAATTTAAGGATATAAGTTGCTGAAACACTGTGAAACTCCGTTGCTATCCCATACCTGACCACCCAGAAATAAAATCAGAGTTTGTCCATTAGAATCACAACAACAACACAAACATAAGGTTTACTGGTAGCAAGATATAAAGCATGGTGTACCCCATCATCAATCAAGAAAGCTCCATACTACGATTTTTCGCACTCATCAAACACAAAAGGACAAACTTAATAAAAAAAGAGGGAAAAAAACAAGAAAGTGATAAAGAAAAACATGAGTGGGGAAGGGGTTTCGCAGCTGAATGGATGATCAGATTCCTAAGGGAATTTTGATAATGCAGTCAAGTTTTACCAAAAGTACTGAACTCTAAGAATGGAAAAATGAAATCTAAACTCTAAGGATGAGCAGCTAACAATCAAGCAATCTAAATTGGAATATCAATGATTTCTTCATTCGTCACGTTTACTGTTGTCCCCGCACTTCTTTCTTTCAAAAATTGTATACTTCCTAAAGAGTCAAGCATGCACCTGTCTCTGTCTTTAAGGCTATAGTAATCAGAGTCCAAAAACATTGAGTAGGTATCTCACGAGTTGGAAGCAAAATGGGTGAATATCTATCTACTCTACTTAGAATCTTGAATTCTTGAAAACAAAATCTGTCATAAAATTTCAAGAAAAGAGCAGTTTTCTAATGCATAGACTGGACTGTAAGTAAAAGATAGAAGAAAGAAAGATGCTTGGCAAGGAAAAATGATCAAAAAAAGTAAATTATAGTGAAATCAGAAGAAACTAGTGTATGGACGAGGAAAAAGAAAAAAAGGAAACATACATATGGAGAGTCAGGGCAGACGCGCTTCATCAACTCCATATAGATTTCAAATTGAGGAGAAAGGAGAGGAATTGGAAAGCAAATGGAGTAGTGCATGGATGGCAACATATAAGGAAGTTGGCGAACTTTACTGGGTATTATGTTATGCGGGTCGGGTTTATGGCAACTTTGCTCGTTGCTTTCCACATGCCCCTGAGTCTGCATGTGTACTTTCTTCTCTTTCTACTTTTACCTTTTTTCCGCCTCATTTTCCTTTTAACTCGCTGCTGCTTTTTTAAGCTTTATGGGTATGGGCTTTAAAGCTGAAGAGGCTTTAAAATTTAAATCGAATAGACTTTACTTTACTAATTACTAAGGGGTCGTTTGGTAAGAATATTAGAAAAATAATGCAAGCATTAGCTCTATGCATTACTAATATCTTGTTTGGTATATTTTTTCAACCTGCGTATAACCGATACTTGTACTAGTTATACATCATACTTGGCATTATCCTATATATAAGTAATGTATAGAAAACCATGGCATTAATAATACCAAGGTTATTAATGCATTGATTAGTATGGTTAAAGATAAAATTATCTTTAAAGTCCCTTAAAGCTAGAGAATATGGAGGGCATTTTTGTAAACAACTATTTTTCTTAAAAATTATGCAATTGCATTATAATTTGAATACACCACACCAAACAGTAGATAAGAAATAATTGCATAATTAATGCTTGCATTACTAATACACCTTATTCTGCACTATTCTTATACACCCTACCAAACGACCCTAAGGAAAATGACACTGTATAACCGTTGGAAAAATAATAGCCGAAAAAATCTATAATATATATATATATATATATATATATATATATATATATATATATATAAGAAGTATACAAATTTTATACACTTTTTCGACTACCAAATATAAATAATTTTTGAAACGAGCTAAAAATGTTAATACCTCAATTACTACTACTACGGAAAAAGTTTTAAAAAAGTCTGAAAAGCCACATCCTCCCCCACTCGACTATTGCTTCTTACAATTGAAATGACTGAAAGTTTTATAAAAAGAAATACTATAACCTTTCAAAATTATTTACTGAAAAGATCACGAAATATTTCATGCCCCCCCTTCCCAAGAGTCTGAATAATGGCACATTCTTTTATACGATTATGTATATTATGAAAGAGGAATACGAGGTAGGATGAAGAAAGTGAATAGCGAGTCAAAAAACAAATCCACTATGACAAGGCGCAATTGCTTTTGGAATGGATCTTATACAAATTTTTCATGGTAGACGTCACGATTCCACCAGTTAATAGCATGTTGGTGGACGTCACATGTTAGGATTAAAAAAATAAGGAAGCATAACAATTAACAAGATTGATGATTCTGAAAACTCTTAAGTGGCAACGTCCACGTCCAAAATAATGCTAGAATGAACTTTAAGGTAGTATTAACATTTGCGTCACCTAAATAGCAAAGAAAGAAAAGGTTACTTTCTTTTAAAACGAGATTTTTTTTGTTCTTATACAATATTTGAAATTTATTTACCAAAAATATCTTAATTTTGTATATTATACTTCCTAAACATGGTTTACTTACAATTTATATACAATCCGCTATTAATGCTTTAAATTAGGAGATTTAGTTACACAATTTTCCTTTTTTCTCTCATCTCCTCTTTCCTTATTCTTGGATCCCTTATTTGAGTGCCAAAATATGTGGGTTACTCTTAGAGACAAGTATTAAAAGTGTTTTTTAAGACTTTTAATTTAATATGGAACGTATCTTAATTTGTCGCGTCTCTACACTGTTTTTTACCTCCATATACTGTTTTTTGAAGATCGTACTCTTTGAAAAGCTTACATTTGCAGCGGAATTTGAAGAAGATTATGCTAGGGCTTAAGAGAAAAAGAGAGCATTGAGAGAATCGGATATTTTCTTTCTACTATCCAAAACCACAAAGAATGTTCCAGATATCATCTTTATACAATGGGCAAAATTGGAAAAACATAGCTATACTAAACTATGGGCTAGACCCGGTCCTAATCTCCTGTGGGCTAGGCCCAATACACATAAATAATCCAAAGATAAGATTGATTTGTTGCACTGCCTACTCCAATACCCCCCCCCCTCCCCCCAAGTTGGAGGATGGGCAAACACCTAACTTGCCAGCCAAAGAATGATGATTCACACCTATTAAGCACTTAGTAAAAATGTCAACTAACCGGGAATCAATAGGAATATGACATAAAGAAATTGAACCATCAGCCAATTTGGTTCATATAAAATGACAGTCAACCTCTATATGCTTTGTCCTCTCGTGGAAAATAGGACTTTTTGCTATATGAATAGCAGCCTGATTATCGTAGCAAACTGGAAGAGGAGTAGACACATGTAAACCCAAATCAGACAATAAACGAACCAACCAGGATAATTCAGCAACCACCTTGCTCATAGCCCAATATTCTACTTCAGCAGAGAATAAGGAAACCACATGCTGTTTTTTGGATTTCCAACTAATAAGACTGCCACCCAAAAACACACAAAAACTGTTGAGAAGAAAAAGCCCCCTCATAATTTTGATCTTCATGGTGCTTCATCGAGAGTTAGAGAAGAAGATGAGATGAAGAAGAAGAAGCAGACCAAATGGCTTCAGACCAAAGTGAAGAGTGTTCGATATAACCTAAGTCTATAGGTGATATTTTGGTCGACTTTGGATACACACGTGGAGAAGCCAAGGCCCTTGGATCAAACAAGCTGAATTCTTGATTGATTAAATAATGACCATCTGATGAAATAAGTTCTGGAAGCTTCCCTCACGTGAAAGCCATGTGAGGGAATATTAGTTAGTTATGAATAAGCCAATTAGAATAGGAACACATGTATAGATTATTCTTTAGGTATTTTTTTTTATTTTATTATTCTTTTCTTAGCAAAGTGTATATATAGACATGTACTGGGAATTGATACATACATAGAGAAAATTTTCAGATCTCATTCTTCAATTTCATTCATGGTATCAGAGCATTAGCTCGATCCAACAGTCCAAAGGCCTAGAATATTTACATCATCTGATTCTCTACAATCAATTCATCATCTTCACTAAGCTAAAATGGGTGACACAAGCAAATCTGCAGATAGCACTGGTACTGCAAAAGCTGTAACCTATGACATCAATCACCCATATTTTCTCAACAACTCTGATTCTCCTGGGATGACTCTAGTCAATACCTTGTTTGATGGAAGAGGATATCCAGGGTGGAGGAGATCTATTTTGTTGTCTTTGTCAGCTAAGAAAAAACTTGGGTTTATCAATGGAGTTTGCAAATCTCCAGATGTGGGTTCCCCAGATCTTGAACAATGGAGCTGTGTCAATGACATGGTGATTTCCTGGATTTTGAATGCTCTTTCTAAGGATATCGCAGACAGTGTGATATATTCCAAAACTGCAAAGGAGCTTTGGGATAGCCTGGAGCAGAGGTTTGGAAAATCAAACGGAGCCAAGCTATATCATCTGCAAAAGGAGTTGTCAGGATTAGTGCAAGGAAATAGTGACATTGCAGGATACGTCACCAAACTCAAACGATTATGGGATGAATTGGATGTTTTAAATGTGGTCACTTGTTGTTCCTGTGTGTGTACTTGTGAAGGAAAATCAAAATTGACAAAATCACTTGAAGATCAGAGGCTAATTCAGTTCCTAATGGGATTGAATGACATCTATGCACAAGCTAGAGGAAACATACTCATGATGAATCCCTTGCCTAGCATGGATGTAGTATATTCTCTTCTTTTACAAGATGAAAATCAGAGAGAAGTTTATGCAAATGCACATTTTAACTCAGATTCATTGTCATTCATGGCAACAGGAGAAGTGAAACAACCTAATGCTCAGCTTCTAGCTGATTTTGCAGCTTTTATAGTCACAGGGCAGGGGAGAAATTTTCAGAAGAACAGGAATCAAGCACAAAGAGCAACAGCAATGGGAACAAAGTATAATAATTCAGGACAGAAGTTCAACAAATCACAGCAGAAGTTTAAGGCAAAGAAGAGGTACAATCCAAATGTGGCTTGTACCTATTGTGGAAAAATATGGCACATTCAAGAGGGTTGCTACAGAATCATTGGATTTCCAGATGATTTTGAATTTACCAATCAAAAGAACTATCAAAATTAGATCAAGGCAAATGTAGTCCTAACTCATGAAGATAATGAAAATCAGACAGGACAGAATACTGAAAACAGCAGCAATTTTGGACAACAACTTAACAAGGAACAACTTGCAGAAATGGTGAACATGTACAAGCAGGCAAAATTGGCACAAACAGGAAATTCAGGAATCAATGCAAATGCAGTTGCTGGTACTATTCTAAAGTACTCAGGTTCAGTGTTTACTACTCTAAATTCTGACACCTGGATCATTGATTCAGGTGCTTCAGACCACATGTGTTTTGATCCCAATTCTTTCTTATTTCTAACTCAACTTCCTGTTCCTTTGAACATCAATTTACCTAATTCATTCAAGGTAATTGTTACTCATATAGGAAGTGTTTCTATTCTGCCAGGTCATGTCATAAACAATGTCTTACATGTTCCAGATTTCAAGTATAATCTACTGTCAGTACATAGGTTTTGCATTCAGTTCCAATATGATGTCTTATTCACATCTATTAGGTGTGTGTTGCAGGGCCTTTCAATGAAGAGTCCACAAGCTTTTGGTGAAGTTAGAGAGGGTCTCTACATATTGGAGCCTAGTAGTCTTAAGTCTAAGGGAATATTCAGTAGTAATGTACTTTCAATTCAAAAAGGAAGGAATTCCATTTCAGACTCTATGTCTTTTTCTAGTCCTGTTCATGTTAATGCTGTTTCTGATGTTAAGCTTTGGCATGTAAGGTTGGGACATCTCCCATTTTCAGCAATGAAACATTTAGATTTCCTTCATTGTGACTCAAATTCTGATTTTATTTGTGATGTTTGTCCTAAGGCTAGGCAGACAAGGAAACCTTTCCCTGTCAGCACCATCAAATCCAGAAATATATTTGATCTCATACATATAGATACATGGGGGCCCTACAAGTACAATACCTATAATGGATTCAGATATTTTCTCACTATAGTGGATGACTACAGTAGAGGAACATGGACATTTTTGATGTCTTCTAAAAGCAATGCATTTCCTATGCTAAAATCTTTCTTGTCCATGGTTGAAAGACTGTTCAATACAAAAGTGAAGATGACAAGGTCTGACAATGCTTTAGAGTTGGGGAAAGGGTCACAAGAAGCAGCTTTCCTTGCTTCAAAAGGAATTATGCATCAGGTGTCTTGTGTAGCAACACCTCAACAAAATGGGATTGTTGAGAGGAAACATAGACATCTCTTAGAAATTGCTAGAGGTCTAATGTTTCAATCCAGGCTACCTGTGTCATATTGGGGTGAATCTATTCTGACTGCAACACACATTATTAATAGATTGCCTTCTAGTGTTCTTCAAGGAAAAACACCATTTGAGGTTCTTTTTCATCACAAACCTAAGTATGACTATTTCGGGAATTTTGGATGTTTATGCTATGCTTCTACTTTGAAACAAGGTAGAGGGAAGTTTGATGAGAGGGCAACAACTTGTGTTTTACTTGGTTATCCTATTCAACAAAAGGGTTACAAACTTCTGGAGCTGTCTACAAGGAGAGTCTTTGTGTCTAGGGATGTGAAATTTCATGAATCACACTTTCCCTTTACAGAAACAAACACAGCACATCATCCCATCTTTCCAACTTCAACCTTCACCACAGAACCTACCTACTCAACCACATTCCAAGATACAACACAACCTATTTCTTCAGAATATGATACAGCAGATATGTACTCACCACTATCATCAAGTCCCCCTCATAATTTTGATCACCATTCAGTTTCTCCACCATCACCAACTTCAGTCTCTCCTAGCCTAGAGTCTTCTCACACTAGGACATTTTCTTCTGCACCTAAAGAACCTACACCTTTGAGAAGATCAGGAAGAGTTTCTACACAACCAATCTATCTAAAGGACTTTGTCTGCAGCAGTATTATGGTAACAGACTTAGCCACAACCTGTTTCACCCAACCCTGTGTACCTAATGAGTACTGCTTTTCATCTCTGTCACCCAACAACCAACATGTAATACAACCCCTTTCTACCCTAACAGAACCCTCTACTTTCAGCCAGGCTTGTCAACATCCAGGATGGGTAGAAGCTATGTCTGCAGAAATTAAAGCTCTAGAAGACAACCACACATGGGAAGTGGTTGAATTACCTAAAGGGAAAAGAGCTTTACCCTGTAAATGGGTGTACAAGGTAAAGCACTTGTCAGATGGGAGAATTGAGAGGTTGAAAACAAGGTTGGTGGTCAGAGGGGATATTCAAAGAGTAGGAATAGATTACAGTGAGACCTTTTCACCAGTGGTGAAGATGACAACCATAAGGTGTCTGCTCACTGTTGCAGCCAAGAAAGATTGGACTGTATCTCAGCTAGATGTCAACAATGCATTCTTGCATGTAGATTTGCAAGAGGAAGTATATATGAAATTTCCAGCAGGTTTGGATCCTCCTAGTCCTAAGCATGTTTGTCTTTTGAAGAAGTCACTCTATGGTTTAAAGCAAGCGTCTAGGCAGTGGTATGCTAGGCTAGCAGGGGCTCTAAGTTTTAAAGGATACTCTTCATCAATGAATGACTATTCTCTGTTCTTTAAACGCACAAATGGTCTTATCTCTATCTTATCTGTCTATGTTGACGACATATTAATTACAGGAGATGACTTAGCAGAAATTCAGGACATCAAAGATTTTCTAAATACTGAATTTAAAGTCAAGAACTTGGGAAGCATACACTACTTTTTAGGTATGAAAATTTTGAGAGAACAAGCAGGATTCATTGTGAGTCAAAGAAAGTTCACCTTAGACATGTTGCAAGAATTTGATGTGTCTCATCTGCCTCGAGTCAGTTCTCCATTGGATCCTGCCCTCAAGCTTCAGGCTGATGATGGAGAATATCTGCAAAATCCAACTTTATTTCGTCATCTAGTTGGAAAGCTAAATTATTTAACAAATACTAGACCAGATCTTTCATTTGTTGTACTCACCCTCAGTCAATACATGCAGAAGCCATGTGAGTCACATCTCTCTGCTGCTTTGCGAGTTCTCAAATATCTCAGTTCTGATCCTGGACAAGGAATCCTATTGTCAGCTGAGGCGTCTTTCTCCTTGCTCGCTTTCTGTGATGCTGACTGGGCTTCCTGCAGGGATTCAAGAAGGTCCGTTAGTGGTTTCTTTATTACTCTAGGAGGAGCTCCCATCTCCTGGAAATCAAAGAAACAGATCTCAATTTCTTTGTCCTCTGCCGAAGCAGAGTATAGATCTATGCGAAGGGTTACTACAGAGCTTACCTGGTTGGTACGAATTATCACGGATCTATCAGCACTAGTTACTCTACCAATTCCCCTTCACTCTGATAGCAAGGCAGCAATTCACATCGCCCGGAATCCCGTTTTTCATGAACGCACAAAACATGTCGAAATTGACTATAATTTTGTGCGTCAACAATTTCTTTCAGGGCTAGTTACTCTCTCCTTCGTTCATTCTAAAGCACATCTTGCAGACATCTTCACGAAGCCCCTTTCTGGGGTTTCTCATCGAGATATTTTAGGCAAGTTAGGAGTCACCAAGTTCCCCTCTAACTTGAGGGGGGATGTTGAGAAGAAAAATCCCCCTCATAATTTTGATCTTCATGGTGCTTCATCGAGAGTTAGAGAAGAAGATGAGATGAAGAAGAAGCAGACCTAATGGCTTCAGACCAAAGTGAAGAGTGTTCGATATAACCTAAGTCTATAGGTGATATTTTAGTCGACTTTGGATACACACGTGGAGAAGCCAAGGCCCTTGGATCAAACAAGCTGAATTCTTGATTGATTAAATAATGACCATCTGATGAAATAAGTTTTGGAAGCTTCCCTCACATGAAAGCCATGTGAGGGAATATTAGTTAGTTATGAATAAGCCAATTAGAATAGGAACACATGTACAGATTATTCTTTAGGTATTTTATTTTATTTTATTATTCTTTTCTTAGCAAAGTGTATATATAGACATGTACTGGGAATTGATACATACATAGAGAAAATTTTCAGATCTCATTCTTCAATTTCGTTCAAAAACCACTAACCGATTGATGGGAATCAGGGCAGGCAGCCCAATCGCTATCACCATAGTCAACCAAAGAGAAATCAGCACAATTATTTAGAGAAATCCCAACTTCAGAAGTGCCCTTTAAGTACCTTAGAACATGCAAAAGGCTGCAGTCATGTAAGGGGCCATAGGGGACTGAAGAAATTGGCTAAGGTGTTGAACAACAAAGCAAAGATCAGGGCGAGTGTGGGTAAGAAAATTTAGCTTGCCAATGAGGCTTCTATATACATCAGGTCTAGGTAAAAAATCATCAATATCAGAGTGCTGCTTTACAGTTAAATCCAATGGACAAACAACAGAAGACGCTTCAGCACAATTAGAAGTAGCCAGTAAATCAGAGATAAACCTCTTTTGATGCAATAAAACTCCTGAAGAATAATAATGAAGCTCAATGCCCAAGAAATAATAAAGAAGGCCCAAATCTTTAATTTTAAACTAATCATCCAGAAAACTTTTCAATGCAACAATCTTAACCAAATCATCCCCAGTTAGGATGATGTCATCGACATACACAGCAAGAAACACAATGGATTGGGATGATTTCTTGACGAACGAGGAATAATCATTCAAAGAATGGTTATAGCCTATAGAACAAAGGGCTTGGGACAATTTCTCATACCATTGTCTAGAAGCCTGCCTCAAACCATACAAAGATTTATTCAATTTGCACACTAAATGAGGGACAGAAGCAGAAGAAGTATAGGTAACAGACAATCCTTGAGGAAGCTTCATATACCCTTCTTCATATAAGTCACAATGTAAAAATGCATTATTAACATCTTACTAAAATAGGGACCACTTTTGTTTGACTGCATAAGCTATAAGGCATCGTATAGTACACATTTTAACTACCGGAGAAAACGCCTCATGAAAGTCAATACCCTCTACCTGAGTATCACCCCTTATAACTAACCTTGCTTTATATCTCTCCACACTCCCATCAGCTCTACATTTAATTT